AAATTTCGATCTCTTCTTCCTCATCGATCACTGTATAAAAACGTATATAGCGGGTACGCCTATACATAACATGTATAGCACCGAGGTCTTTAGTAATTTCGGCATGTATGGTGGTTCGAACAATTTCAGTCTCTCGCGGTGGCATCTACAATACAAAATACAAAATGTGAACCATAAAATTGAGTAAATATGATGATGCATGTCAAACATACATAGGCCCAAATTCCTATTATAGTGTACCGTATGCGCTCAGAATAACATGACTTTTTTTTCTGCGCGTAAACTAATATCAACGCATCCATCGTTGCCCACCGAGACTAAAGATGCCACATCAGTATATCATACATACAAATTCAAGGCCTGACCTACGTATATACAGTGCTCAAGGTGCCTATCCGCAGTCCCAAGACCACCAAGGGACCTCCTGGCACTACCTGTATACATGTGTCGAATTCCCAATACCCTATCCTTGGCTACCCTTAATGACTGCCGGGAGCCTCAAAGCGGTACAGTTATTTGGACACAATATTACGATACATCTATAATGGAATTCAGATTCAAAATTTTCAATTGCAACTCAATCAGCATGACAACACAATTATGCATGATCTTGAAAACGTAATTATTCCTACGTTTTTCAAATAAACTCAATGCACATGTAACACACTGCCATGTCACATAGCAAAAGAAACAATCACGTATAAACACATATTTATACATATTAATGTATTTTGCACTGTAGTTGGAAAAACATCAATATTTAACTTTTTCACGATTTCTTTGATCAATATCTGCATTAACACAATTATCTATACATTAATCGTATTTTATCTTATTATTTCCCGATTATCACATCTAGACTAAACTTATAAGATAATATGAGTTATTTAATAGTATACTCTTAATAAAAATAATGATACTAATTTATTGTCAACTAGTAGTAATAATAATAACCTTAATAATATAAATGAAATTCTCTTTATCGTCATTAACTAAATTCCATAAAATTATTACATGTACAATTTAGGTTAGCCAATACACTACCATAGTACTTTCCCATTTCATGCTTGATCCACTTTTCATTTCAATTAATACAAGTATATATATACATCCATATCCATTAGTAAATTTTCTTTTTCAATCCATATTCTTCTTTGCCACATTTTGATCATATCTCACCATTGATACTATGCATTATAACAATTTTTTTTTATATCTTATCACATAACTAGATCAAAGTAATTTAAGTTTAAGCCTTAAGTGCTAATTGTTTTCTTTCTTCCCATTTGAATTTACCACTCATATAAATATAGTAGTGGCCCAATTTCCATACCCATTATCATGATGATATTAACAATTATTATACCAAGTTATTTTTTATCCCTACTCACTTCTTCCTTACTCTCTATCTTTTCCCCCAAAACTATTTTATACAATCCTTAATAATGTAAGCTAAGTAAACTAAAACTTAATATATTTTCAACTAGTTTATAAGTTTTAAAATTTCCAAAATTAAGATTTTGAAATGGAAAAATTATAATTTATCTTCTTTGATTTTATTAATTAAAACTTAACTATAAATTTTAACCCCTATTTATAAATAAATTAAATAATTATCTAAATAAATAATTAACTAAAGAAAATTTAAAACAATTAACTTACGGTCCGTTTGATTACAAAGATGTAATTGAATTGAATTGAAAACGAATTTCAGATAATTGAATTGCCTAGAAATTATTTTCGTGGAAATTGTAAATTATTGTATTTGATTGAGATAAATTTTCATGTGAAAAATGTTGAAATAAAAGTATTTTTGATCTTAGTTTGGCTCTATTTTACATGAAATTGTCAATTAAAAGGATAGATTTTATTGGTATTGGGGATGAAATTTATTTTCATTGCCAACACACAAAAAAATAAAAATTTTAAGAAAATCATCTATCTTTTGGTATTCGTTTGACTTTATTTTACATGAAAATTGTCATTTAAAGGGAAATATTTTTTTACAATAATTCTTAGAATTTGTTTCCATTACCAACAAAAAAAAATAAAAAAAAAAGTGTTACAGTAACTAAGAAATCCAATTCTGACCATTTTGGTGAGAATTGGAATTCAAGGAAAACATAGAAATTAGCTTAGGTGGCATAAAAGGTGGAATTCGAATTTTAGGAAAAATTTTGCCAATCAAACAACAAAAAATTGGAAAGATGGAATTTGATTTCCATTTTCCATGGAATTGGGGTGCAATCAAACATAGCCTTAATGAAAAGATATGCCTTAATGAGTGAAAAGGATGGGAAAATGGTATGTCACATTTTACAACTATCATCTATTTATAATTGATGGTAGGGATTAAATATGCAATTCATGAAATTACACATATAATCCCTATGATAGTGTGCAATTATTTGATTGAATTTTAAAATTACATCTTTAAACTATGGGCCACATATGCAATTATTTATTTGTTTATAAAATTGCACCTTTAACCCTAGGGCAAATATGCAATTATAAAATTGCATTTTCAATCCCCATAATATTATTTTAATTACAATCCCTAATAACATTTATTTTATTATTAAACTAAGTCCCTAAAATTAAAAACAAACTCCTTAAAATATTAAAATCTTTACTAGAAAATTTTGAAATGTTACAGCTTAGCCACTGGAAGAGAAGGAGCGGTGGATTTGAAATGAGCCATCGGAAGAGGAGCCACTGGAAGAGACGGAGAGAGAGAAGGGGGGGGGGGGGATGTGGCTACGTAAATTATTTTAATTTTATAATTTTAATTATCCTTATTTACCACTTTATTTTTGAATTTAAACTAATTCTCCTTATTTCTGAAAATTCTTCTTTAAATGTTGATTTCTAGGTGATTTTCCCGAAATTTTGTCCTTAACGTAAAATTAAAGAGACCCTTTCAAAACAAACAATACAAGCACAACGCGAACTGGCCCAACTCTAAATTTTAAAGAAGGCCCGAATCTAACTCTAAGTTGATTACACAGTCCATAATAAAACATAGTGTTAATAACAATGTTGGACACTCATTTATATAGAAAAGTTTCATTTATGTCCCCAAATTTCATTTCATTGTAAAATCCCTGTTTGTTAGGAATTAAAATTAAAGTTTTAATTTAAGTCAAAGTTAATAGTTAATTTACTAAAAATTTGATTTTAATCCCTGCCAAACGAGTACAAAGTGCTCATTAAATCGATTTTCATTAACAATACAAATTCTCATTGAAATAGAAAATACTTTCTTATTTATAACCAAACGGTTTATATAACCACTTTTTTTCTTTTTTTGTGGGAATTACAATCTAAATTTTAATTTAAGTTAAAATTAACAATTAATTTCACTTACATATTTTTTCAGGTGAACATGGTTAGCAATTTAAAATTTTTCCAAACAAAACCAAACAGCTTTTTTTTCCTGATTTGGTTCAATTTAAAATCATGATTTAACAAAGAAAAAATAACATATATCAAATAAGTTAAATTATAATATATAACCTAAATTTCAGATAAAAATATGAATAGTATCATTAAAACTATTACAGATTCAAGTTTTATAATTCTAATAATTATAATGCAATAACATGACAAAAACATTCTAATCTCTTAGTCGATATTAATTGACACAACATTTGTAATTGTAGCACACATGAATCATTCTCTCCATAAAGTTCATAATATAGTATGCGAATTCATCGATTATAGTTAAATGTTATAAAACAACTAATAAAAGAGAATGAAAAGAAGATCAAATGCGATAATACCTTTTATAGCTCTTTATAAATCATCCAATATATCTCCCTCATTCAAATATTGATGAATTATTATGGGTTCTTTATTACTCAACAACCAATTTTTAAGGCAAATCATCGCTTCAACCATATTTGCACTCATCGAACCTTTAGTGGAATCAATAATTTGACACTAATAAGGAACACTGACTCAAATAATTGTAGATATTTGAATAACTAACAAATTAGTAGCAATTTGGGAGATATTTTATATTTATTTGCATTCAATTTTCACCAAAATAATATGTCGAAATACTCTTTAGTCAAATATTCAAAATGATCAAATAGTCCACCAAATCATTCTATCAATTAACATTAAAATCAAAAAACTAATTTAAAATGTAGATGATTAATTGTGTGATTTGACCAGGAAATTGAGAGGTAAATATAATGTCCACTAAACATTTAGGAGTGCCAGCTAAAAATTAGAACTAAATAACACAATTATTAATAAAATATAGCAAACAATTAGCAAAAAAAATTGTATAATCTGACCTAAAAATAATTTGAGGAAAATATAAGTAGAAGGAAAATAAATATACGTGTTTAATTAAAATTAAAATTTAATTGACTATTCAATTATAATGAATGGTGGATGAATATGGTTTCAAATAAGTTGTTTAGCACTTAAACTCAATTTGAGAGTTTTACATTAACAGTTATGATGATTGATGTGTATTTGGATATGATTTTATTAATTATTTGGGCAGGTATTGAGTTTAATTGGATTATATTTAATGTAATGTATTTTTATTTATTTAACTATTATTTGTTTAGTTTTATTCTATTGAATAAAATTTAAATTATTTAATTTTCATTTTTTTATAAATAATTTGACAGTTTGAAATTGTTTGCAAAGATTGAAACATAAATCAAATCACTTATTCGCCTTAACTATCGGCAGATCCAAAATCCAAACGGTGATAGATCCACGTGGACCAAAACCAACGGTCTAAAACGAGTTTCGTTCGATTTGACGGTTTGACAATTTCGTTATTTAACTTTATATATTTCATGAGATCTATAACTTTTTAACCTCATATTTAAACAATTTTAATAAAATTTATTAAAAATTTGATTTTAATTCCGCATCACTTGACGTACCAGAGGCATCACTTGACGGGATTATAGTAACATTAATTGCGACATAAAAAATTGAAAGCCAAGAAAATAAAATAATGATTTATAGAAAATTTGAAATAGTCACAATTTTGTGCCGTCGATACCTTTCTTCTAGCGTGTGGTAATGGCAGCTGCTACTTGGCTCCATTCTTCTGCCCCTTCCAACGCTCTCCGCCCCTTTCTCCGCCGCACAGCAGCTCTTCTCCGCCCTAACTACCGGCGGATTCATCAGTTCACTTTAATTTCTCCGATAACTTTCTCCTCTGACAAATATAAACCTCTGGAACCGTTGGTTCGCTCACGGGCACGGCGAAACTTATCTTCCATTATCAAAGATGATGAAGTAGCTTCTCGTAAGGAAAAAAAATAGTAAATTCGTTTTTTAGTATTGATTGTTAGTTTATAAGCTAATTGGAAAAGTAAGATTGACAATCGGAGTCTGTATTTTTTTATTAATTTACTGCTTATTGGTAGCTGATGATTTGCATTTCGAGGGGCAGCTCAAAGTAGTGGAATATCCAGACCCAATATTGAGGGCGAGGAACAAGCGAATTAATTCCTTTGATGACAGCTTAAAGAAGCTCGCAGACGAAATGTTTGATGTTATGTATAGGTGATTTCTCTTCACTGTAAATTGCATTTGTCAGAATATCACTGGCAAGTTCGATTTGATTGTCTATTGGTAGAGATCTTTCCCAAGATTTTCCTGCCTAGCAATCAACTACATGAGTCAGTTTTTATGAAACTGATAAATAGAACTCCTATAATATCTAAATTAACTACACGTGTATGTTTTATTCCTTTTTCCCCCCTTATTGAAGATTCTGTTACTGTTTGTAAACAATACTTGTTGGCTCCTCTTTCCACAGAACGGATGGCATTGGGCTCTCGGCACCCCAAGTGGGGATTAATGTGCAACTCATGGTGTTTAATCCCGTTGGTGAACGTGGTGAAGGAGAAGAGATAGTTCTAGTAAATCCGCGTGTTGATAGATATTCAAGAAAGCTGGTGCTTTACAACGAGGGTTGCTTGTCTTTTCCTGGGATATATGCTGATGTTGAGGTACATATAACTAATAGAATGAATAGATTATGGTTCAGAGCTTGATTGTGCTCGATTGGTTGCGTTTGGAAATATCTTCATGTTTATCAGAAAATGAAGAAAACAATTATGCAGAGGAGAATGACGAAAATGCAGAACTATTTCTCCTGTATCTTGTATAGATGAATTAATATTTACAGCTATATATAGAAATGTGACTATTATACAATCATAACAGAATTGGAAAGAGAAAGAATCCCTCATCTTCTACACTATTCTTCTGTTAGAATATTCCTCACGCAAGTGGCTATATCTTTCTTCATCTAGAATACTTCCTCAGGCTGTTTACGTGGCTTGTCCATGTCAGCTCATCCATGTGGCAATTCATTTTTCAACACCCCCCTGCAAGATGGAGAGTAAATGTCTTTTACTCCCATCTTGGCCAAGTGAGAATGAAAAATTGGTGAGCTTAATGCCTTAGTTAAGATGTCAGCAACTTGTGCACTTGTCTTCACATGTTCAGTGACTATACTTCCCTCTTGAACTTTATCTCGAAGTAAGTGACAATCAAGTTTTATGTGTTTAGTTCTTTCGTGGAAGACCGGATTTGCAGCGATATGGATTGCTGATTTGTTGTCACAATATAGGGTGGCAGCTTGTGGGTGATTAACTGTAAAATCTTTGAGTAGAAATCGCAACCACGTTAATTCACAACAAGTGCTTGCCATAGCCCTATATTGTGCCTCTGCAGAGGACCTGGAAATTGTATATTGCTTCTTTGATTTCCAGGAGATTAATGATGATCCTAAGAAGATGCTATACCCTGTGATAGATCTTCGTGTATCCGGACATGCTCCCCAATTGGAATCACTGTAAGCTTCAAGTTGTAGTGCTGATGAAGATGGATACAATAGCCCTTGCCCTGGACTCCTCTTAATGTATCGAAGGACCTTGTTTGTTGCGTAGAGATGTGGAAGTCTTGGTTTAACCATATACTGGCTCAGAAGTTGGACGGCATAGGATATGTCAGGCCTTGTCACAGTGAGATAAAGAAGTCTCCCAACAAGTCTTCTGTACATGGAAGGATTATCAAGCAGTTCACCTCGTTCCTTTGAAAGTTTAACATTTCGGTCTAGGGGAATTTTGCTGGTGTGGTACCAATTGTGCCCGAATCTGCCAATATATCTAAGGCATATTTCCTTTGACATACCATAATTCCACTTTCTGATCTTGCTATCTCAATGCCAAGAAAATACTTCAATACTCCCAAGTCTTTAATTCTGAATTCTTTATCCAATAACAGCATTAGAGAGTCGACAGATTGTATGTCATTACTGGCTACAATGATGTCATCTACGTATACCAAGATAGCAGTGAATGATTCCCCTTTGGTTTTAGTAAACAAGCTGTAATCCGCTTTTGATTGAACAAAGCTAAGCCCTGTGATGAAATTTGACAGCCTTGAATACCATTGCTGCGAGGCTTGTTTTAAACCGTATAGACTTTTGAGCAACTTGCAAACCTTAGGCTGAGAAGCCTTTGAGTAGCCTGGGGGTAAATCCATATACACCTCCTCTACAAGATCCCCATGTAGGAAAGCATTATTCACATCAAATTGGTGTAGAAACCAACCCTTAATGGCTGCAACTGCTAACAAGGTTCTGACTGTGACCATTTTTGCAACTGGCGAAAAAGTCTCGTGATAGTGTAGACCTTCTTGTTGAGTGTACCCTTTGGCAACCAGACGTGCCTTGTATCTTTCTATAGAGCCATCTGAATTGTACTTAATCTTGAAAACCCACTTGCAGCCTATTGCTGATTTTCCTTGTGGCAAATCTGTGATAACCTATGTATGGTTTTGTTCAAGTGCATTAATTTCATTCTGCATTCCTTGCATCAATCTGATGATTCTAGTGCCTCATTATAAGTGTGTGGTTCTGTATGAGACGTGATAGACATGATACAAGCTTTGTGTCCCTGTGATAATCTTTTGTATGAAAGAGTTGCTTCAAGCGGAAAAGGGTTACCTGAAGCTGGAGGAACCTTCTGCTTTTTGAACTTTTGAAGTTGGGAGGATGAGCTGGCCTGTTGACATACAAAGTTCTGTAAATATGTAGGAGTTTTTCTAATTCTAGTGGATCGTCTGGGAAAGTGAGGACTTGTAGTAGTAGATGGTGAGGTTGCGCTTTCTAGATCATTCAAAAGATTTTCTGGGCTTGACTCTAACTCATTTATGGGGCTTGTGTGACCTGGTTTTGCCGATGAACTTTCAGTGGTTGGTGATAGACTTTGAGCATTTGATGGTATACTGTCGTTGTTGTAAGGTTGGTCAAATTTTGAAATTTGAGAATCGAGAGACTGAGGCTCATTTATGGCTGGTGTTAGAAAAAAGGGAAAATTGGGAGGATCAGATGTGGAACTAGTGCCGGACAAATAACTGCCTTTGCAAGGAAATATGTTTTCATGGAATGTAACATTTCTTGAGACAAAAGTCTTTTTAGTCTCTAAGTCAAGCAACTTATAGCCTTTCATGCCAAAGGGGTATCCCAAAAATATGCATTTTCTGGCTCTTGGATCAAATTTATGCCTACTTTGAGTTAAGGTAGTGGCAAAAGCCAAACACCCGAAAACCTTAAGATGGGAATAATTCGGTTTTGTGTTGTGAAGAAGTTCAAAAGGTGTTTTGTAATTTAGGAGAGGTGATGGAGTTCTGTTTATGAGGTAAATCGCAGTTAAGACACAATCATTCCAGTATTTTATAGAGATCCCACTTTGAAATCTCAAAGCTCTTGCTACATTAAGGATATGCTGTTGTTTTCTTTCTACAACAGAATTTTGCTGTGGAGTTTCCACACAAGAGGTTTGATGCATAATTCCTTTCTCAAGATAAAAGTTTTTCATGTTGAATTCACCTCCATTATCAGTTCTAATTGTTTTGATTTTGGTCTCATATTGATTTTCAATCATATTACAAAATCCTTGCAAAGCAACACTAGCATCAAATTTGTCTTTCAAAGTATAAACCCAGGTACATTTACTGTAATCTTCCACTATGGTAAAAAAATATCTTGAACCATCATAAGCTACCTCATTACATGGTCCCCAAATATCGCAATGGACTAAATCAAAACGTTTTTCTGATTTATGTTGACTGACAGGGAAAGGAGGCTTGTGCATTTTGGCCAAGGGGCAAATCATGCAAGGCTTGGTATTTCGTGTGTATGTGGGAACCCGATGATTGTTTAGAAAGCTGAGAGTAGTGTATGAAGGATGTCCTAATCTATAGTGCCAGAGATCAAATTCTTCAATGTGAATGACAGCTGCTGCGGTAGTTTTGATATTGGTTAAGGTGTCAATGAAAGCTGAAGGTGAAAATTCTGTTTGTTGCAGATGATACAAGCCATGTCTCACCTCACCCATTCCAATCGTTCTCCAAGTCAAAAGGTCCTAAAGGAAACAATTTTGAGATAGAAAAATCAGACAACAGTTTAAAGTAATTGCTAACTTTCTAGCTGAAATCAGGTTAAAGGAAAAAGCTGGAACACATAGTACATCATATATGATTAAGTTGTTTGAAATTCTTACTGTGCCTATGTGTGTAACAGCAACATTGTTGCCATTAGGGAGTGTAACAGTGTAGGACACTTGCTTTGTGATACTAGTAAACAGAGAGGCTTCACAAATCATATGATCCGTGGCACCTGAGTCAATAATCCAAGGTGTGTATGCTGGAGTTTTGGTTTTTGATGCATAAACAGATAGGCACAGAGATATACCAGATATAGTAGGCATTTGAACCTCAGTGGTGCAAGGTATAGTGGTAGAGTGAATGTGATTTGCCAAATGTGTTGGTGGCGAGATATTTTGCTTGTTGAGAAGAGCCATGAGTTGACCGTATTGTTCCTGTGTAATAGGAGACTGAGCATTGCAAGAAACCTCAGTATGCACTTTCTCTTGGATAGGTATAGTGGTGACCTGATTAGCAGAGGAACTAGGGGATTTGTTCTTATTGTACAATTTGTGTGCCAAGGGATATCCATGGATTTTGTAGCACTTGTCTATGCTGTGGCCAGGAAGGTAGCAATAAGTGCATATCAATTTGCTGGGATTGGCTTTAAGGCACCTTTCAAATGAATGACCTGCAATTTTACAATGAGTGCAAAAATATTTAGTGTTTCTCGGAACAATGTGTTGAATCCCCCTTCGAGCTCCCCTAGCAATCATTGCCACAGATTCATTTGCAGAATAATCCAGTGATATTTGTCTCCTCTTTTCTTCTTGCTGTATAATAGAATAGGCTTCGTTAAGTTCAGGGAATGGCTTATTAAGTAGGATCTGGGCCTTGATATCCTTATAGGATTCATTGAGGCCCATGAGAAACCTCATAACCCAGTCCCTATGCTGATTGTCAACAACAGTGCTAAGTCCTCCGCATGTGCAATTGGGTATTGGTTCATAATTCATTAACTCATCAAGAAGCGTCTTATATTTTGAAAAATAGACAGACACATCATCTTGGTTCTGCATTAAAGTGCTGATGGCTTGCTTTATTTCATAAACTCGTGGAGCATTTTGTTGAGCTAATTGGTGCTCAAGTTCCAGCCAGAGTTGTCTAGCAGTATCTGCATAAAGTGTGCAAGATTTTACATCAAGAGACATGGTATTCTGCAGCCAAGCGATCACGAGATCATTACAACGAAGCCAGTGCTCCATCAGAAAGCCATTGGGGTCTGTAGGTTCAGCCAAGTTTCCATCAATGAATCCAAGTTTGTTTTTGATCTTGAGAGCCTTTTTTATAGACCTTGCCCAGGCATAGTAGTTGGTATTGTCTAATATGTGGGTGACCAGTATTGTACCTGAACTATCATTCCCGCCAATATAATACGGACTGTATGGATGAGCAGGATCATTGGGAATTTGCTGAGAATTTTCATTGGGATTCTGATGAACAGAGGGTGAATTTGGGTCATGATTTTCGTGTGCAGCAGACTGGGTGTCTGTGCTTTGATTATCAGCCATATCTACCAATTTTGCTTTGATACCATATCAGAAAATGAAGAAAACAATTATGCAGAGGAGAATGACGAAAATGCAGAACTATTTCTCCTGTATCTTGTATATATGAATTAATATTTACAGCTATATATAGAAATGTGACTATTATACAATCATAACAGAATTGGAAAGAGAAAGAATCCCTCATCTTCTACACTATTCTTCTGTTAGAATATTCCTCACGCAAGTGGCTATATCTTTCTTCTTCTAGAATACTTCCTCAGGCTGTTTACGTGGCTTGTCCATGTCAGCTCATCCATGTGGCAATTCATTTTTCAACAATGTTTGATGTCAAACTCATTGTGGATTGGATTTGTGATGATTGCCAAGTTGTTTGTTTTATGTGGATGAAATGTACCATGTTTTCCTTGTTAACATGCACTCATTCCATCTACGATGAACTAATTATATATGCGTACTTTGGAACTAACAGAAGAAATTTGAGATTATGGATTAAAATCCATTTTCATAATTCTAAATGAGATGATATGTCCAGTTATTGTTTGATTTTCGAGTGGACTGGAACACAGTTGTGGGGATTGCCATTTGCAACACGTGTTGCCTTCACTTGCCATTCTATTCCTTGCTTATGGTAGAACTCGCCCAATCCAGTGGAGTACAAAAGAGGTCACTTAACTCACTTCCCTTCATTATATGGAATTTCTTTGTGGAAATCAGCATCCCTAAACAGATTTGTTTGGTCTTCCTCATTTTTTGGCTGTTGTGCTACTTTATAAAATATCATGAAACAATATAAAATGTGTTAATAAACTGAGCAATGTGGTCTAATTAGTGATGAAAATATGCTTTGTAATTATGTGTCTTATGTAATTAATTTGATTAGCTTATTTGTTTATACTTGGATAGGCTAGACAGGTGTTCCAATAGATTAGCTACAGGTAACAGGTTTGTCAGAAACAATGTTAGATACACTTCGTATAACTAATGTTATTTACATAAATACTGGAATCGGTGGCTCAGATTATTTTCCATCCTTCAGAAATTTATTTTCTTCTCCAGAGACCATTATATCATCAACATAGATAAGAGCAATTAGCATTGCACTGTTGGTGGAGAGAACAAACATAGAAGAATCAGGTTTGGAACCTTGTAAACCCCACTTAAGTAAACAACTGCTAAGCTTATTTTACCACGCCCTTGGAGACTTCTTTAAGCCATAGATATCCTTTGAAAGTTCGCAAACAAATGAGGGATTGTGGTGCTAACAAATCCAGGAGGTCGTTCCATGAAACCAACCTCAGTTGGATCCCCATTTAAAATGCATCATGGATCTCTTAAAGACGAGCGAAGGGAGAGCAATTGTGATGACAAGTCTAATGGTGATCGGCTTAACTACAGGCTGGAATTCTCATAGTAGTCAATGCCTAGTTTGATGATATCCCTTAGCATCAAGCTGTGCCTTATACATCTCAAAACTGTCATCAGGCTTAAATTTCAACATATACAGCCATTTACACCCAACAACCTTGTGAGTAGCAGGAAGAGGAACTAGATCCCAAGTGTGGATCTGCATTAGAGCCTGATATTCAGAAAGCATAGTTTGTTGCCACTGAGTGGGGGAAGCTGCTTGCGTAAATTATGAGGTTCCACAAGATTTTTAATGAGTAATAGGATTTGCAATGGGAGTTATTACAGGATCGGTAAGGGAGACAATCTCTGGTATTCCTGATTTAGAGAAAAGACTGGATTTGGGAGGAGAGCTGGTTTTGGCTCTGTATTTGGTTCCTCATAAGGTAGAGCTCAATTTTTCTTGGTTATTTATTGGTTGGGAATGGATGGTGTAAGCATGGGACATGTAGCATCTTAAAGTGGAGTATGGTGTTAAACGGCAGTTTATGGCATTATCATTCTATCTGTATTTTCTAATTGATCAAATCTTCCAGAAATTTTACCACTCAACCTTCTAAAATTCTTTTCACCATTTAGTTTGATCTTTGATTAATAGAAGCTGCCTTTGATCCTTATGGTGCAGAGACCAGATTCATTGAAGGTTGATGCACAGGACGTTACTGGTGCAAGGTTTAAGCTTAACTTGTCGGGACTTCCTGCACGAGTATTCCAACATGAATCTGATCATCTGCAGGTTTTATATTCAGGATCTGTTAATTTTTTTTTTTCTATTGCTGCATCAGAATGAAATATAGCCTGAATGTTTCACTAAAAATAGTTTGCAGTTGATGTTTGGTTATGGTTATTCTCTCGAACAATTTTTTGTGCGGATTTAGCTTCAAAATTGCATTTAATTATATAGAAGATCTGGAGTACAACGTCTTACACCTGACTTGATTACAATGAGCATTAGGTTGATTCCATGATTTTTGACAAAATGGGCATCAGGAAATTTATTCCTTACATTCCCATAATACCTTCTGTCCCACACACTACTGTAAGGATTGTAAATTAATTACTGAACTAAAATGCAGGGCATTTTATTCTTTGATAAAATGAGTGATGAAGTCCTTGACAGCATCCGGGAAGATTTACAGGTACGTGTTGCTCACACTTGCATGTATTGATCTTTATTTCTGTCGATTATCTTCTGATCATAAACGTTAATATTGACATTATAAATCTTTTATAGCTGAATATTAACTTAGAGCTATAAATTGCTTAATGCACTCGGCCCTGTTTGGTTTTTCTAAAATTCAAATTTTTAGTAGATTTTGATAAAAATTAATAAAATGTGTTGTTGAAAAGTTAATCAAAGTTGTGGGTTCTACGAAATTTGTGATAAAAATTATTTATTGACCTTAATCTAAGTTTTTATCAATATTTTTAGTTACACTAATTAGGGGCTTAATAATATTGGCAGGCGATGGAGAAGAGATATGAGGAGAAGACGGGGTTCCCAAGCCCTGAAAGAATAGATGCACGCCAGAGGAGGAAGGCAGCTGTTGGGTTTGGAAAGTCGTGATTTTGATAAATCAGTTCTCGATCGTACAGTTGAAATTTGTAGTTTTTATTTCATTTTTATGTGATTAATTATAAATATCAAAATTTTGTGTGCTTAATCATAATTAACTTAGTCAATGGTCAGCACAAAGGTCCTAATCGATTTTCTATTTTATTTTTTGCGAAAAAAATTTAGTAAAATTCTATAAAATCCTTTTGATTGACATGGAAAATATCACAAGAAAATGTTTTCCATCTTTTGTGGAAAATAAAAATTACCTCTACCCAAGGAAAATGTTTTCCTTAAAAACAAGAAAAATTAGGCATATTTTCAAAAGTTGGAAAATGTTTTCCATGGAAAAAAATAGCAATTAAACACTCCAAGTAAGAATTTGGGTGGAAAATATCAATTTTTCGTGGAAAATAAATGTAATCAAACACACCATTAGTGTTTGTATAAGAATATAGTGTCCTTAACATTATGAATTAATTACATGATGTATTTTTTAAAAATAAGACAGTCTTTCACTCTTATCTTGATTAAAAATCAAAATTTTAGTAGATTTTGATAAAAGTTGATGATATGTGTAATTAAAAAATTGATAAAAGTTGCGGGTATCCTGAAATTTATGGTTGAAAATGAGTTCGTGATAAAAGAATGATTAAAAATGAAGATTAGATTGGGGTTTGTCTTGCTAGTTATTTTTGCAAAAATAATAAATATTGCATTAATATATAATTTTAGTCTGTGCACTAAATTCGAAGCATCATTTTTCCATTTTCATAATCGTAAACGACAGTTACTTCCAAGTTCCGACTTTAGAACTTAACTTTAGCGGGTAAATAAATTTACTTGAACATGTATTAAAAGTCAA